ATAACATAACACATACCTCTTTTAAAATATAAAGTGTCTATCCTCTGTCATATAAATAACTCTGTACTACCTGTGACATAATAAAAAATAAACAACTTTTAACATAACAATCTAAATATAATGGGACTTTAGTATTTTAATATTAAATACCTTTTAATCATGCACTGTAAGAAGCAAACACCAAATGTTCATCAAAGAAAGCAAAATCCACCTACTTTTATTAATTGAGTTTATCTAAAAAACCATCCACCAAATGTGCAGTAAAGTAACCCTCCAAAGTTTTTTGTTTTGTTACTTTAAAGCAACCAGCAACCAAATGCTTTAATTATCTGATGTGGTGGCGATTATTTTGGCTTATTTGCTTTAACCAACCATCACCAATCAAAAAATATACTAACCTTTGAATTTTTTTCTTTTTATTTGTGTAACATTTTAATTTTGTAGTAATTGTTTGATATTCATTTTTTTTTCTTTTTACTTGTGTAACATCTTTACTGGTAGAAACCTTAGTTTAATTTTTAAATCAGTAATCAAAGTATAAAATCTAATTATTTTAAAAATAATTATAGAAAAAAACTAAATAAAATTTATAATATTTGATTAAAAAGAAAATGTGTAAACACATAAATATAATTAATATTACAATATATCTTTATATAATATTTTTGAATAATTATAAATTAGTTTTATATTTAGAAATTTTATAATAAATTTTAAAAGATAACTGAAGTAAAACTTGAGATGCGTAGCATTTCAAGTTCGCGGGATGGCTTTGCCGCTGAGTTCTTCTAGTCAATATGCTCCATTTTCTAAGTCTTCTACAACTCGGAATGGGTCACCCCAGTTGGGTGCGAGCTTTCCTTCGGACGTGTCTTTTCGTGCGTCGCCTAACAGTCACCACACCAAGTCGCCAGCTCGGAAAGAGCGAGGTCGCACTCGCGTGTTGTATCTTCTGGAAGCTCGGAGTTTGCAAGCTTCTTCATGAATTCGGTCTTCATCTCTGAGCTCGTCAACCAAGTCGAGGTCAGTTGCTAGTTCTTGAGCGTTCTGCTGGCTGTTGAAGACTTGGCGTCGGTGAGATGTCTCTCTGATTTCCACTGGGATCATTGTGTCAGCTCCATAAGTCAGCCTGTAAGGCATTTCTTGCGTTGTTGACTGAGGGGTGCAATGGTATGCCCAAAGGATGCTAGGGAGTTCGTCGGCCCATTGTCCTTTAGCGTTCCCTAACCGCTTCTTAAGTTCTCGGAGGATGACCTTGTTGGCGGATTCGGCCTGGCCATTGGTTTGGGGGTGTTCCACCGAGGTTGGAAGGTGTTTGATACCGAGCTCTCGGAGGAAGTCCTCACAGCTTTGTGCGATGAACTGCTTGCCGTTATCGGTAACGAGGGAATGAGGGATGCCGAATCTGCATATGATGTTTTTCCACGTGAATTTTTGGACATTATCGGTGGTGATTTTGGCGAGTGGGCATGCCTCGATCCACTTGGTGAAATAATCAACTGCCACCAGGAGAAACTTGAGTTGACCTTTCACAGGGGGAAATGGTCCCAGGATGTCCATTCCCCACTAGGCGAACGGCCACAGAGACATCATCTGGTGGAGGGCTTCGGGCGGCTGCCGATGTGTGTTCCCAAACTGTTGACACTCTTTACATTTTTGCACGTAGGCTTGGCAGTCCAACTTCAAGGTGGGCCAGTAGTATCCAGCTCAGAGTACCCTGGTCGCCATCAAGCGCGCTCCAGAATGCATGCCGCATATGCCTCGGTGGATTTCTTCGATGACATAAGCGGCCTGAGGTGTGGACAAGCACTTTAGCAGGGGGTGGAGATGCCGCGTTTGAACAATTCGTCTCCAACAATTACAAATTTAGTCGCTTTAACCCTCACCTTCCGAGCTTCATCTTTATCCTCGGGCAAGGTTTCTGACTTCAAATAGTTCCAAATACCTGTCATCCACCCTGGTTCTTCGCTACTGCTGGTGTTGACGATCTTATCGTCCAAGCTGGGCAAATGCAAGGTTTCTTGGATAATGGTCCGATGTTGTCCAGGTCGCTTGGTATTGGCGAGCTTTGATAGGAGGTCGGCTCTGGTATTTTGTTCTCGTGGAACATGCTGTATAGTGAACTCGTCGAAGGACGAAATCTGGTGTGACGCGACGTGGAAGTACCGTTGCAGAAGAACATCCTTAGCCTAGTACGTCCCACTGAGTTGTTCCACCATGAGTTTTGAATCCCTTTGCAACTCACTCTTCGTGCCCCAAGGTCGCGAGCTAGCCTCAATCCTACGAGAAGCGCTTCATATTCTGCCTGGTTGTTGGTCACTTTGAAGCTGAACTTGAGGGATTGCTCCAAAGTGACTTGATTTGGCCCTTCCAAGATGATACCTGCACCACCATCTTTAGAGTTGGAATACCCATCAACATTCAAGGTCCATACATGTGGTTCATTGGTCGCGGTCGGGGTTAGTTCGGCTACGAAGTCTGCCAGGCATTGAGCTTTCAGAGCTCCTCAACTCTCATACTGGATGCCGAACTTAGACAACTCGACTGACCATGCTATCATCCGTCCGGCGAGCTCTGGCTTTCTCAGGATTTACTTGATTGGGTAGTCAGTCTTGACTATTACCTAGTGACTCTAAAAGTAAGGCTGGAGACGCCGAGCTGCGGTGATGAGTGCTAGCGCAAGTTTTTCAATTGTTTGGTATCGTTTCTCGGCGTCCGACAGGACTCGACTGATGAAGTAGACTAGTGTCTGCATTTTTTGGTGCTCTTGTACAATAACCGCGCTGATTGCGCCTTCTGCTAATGTCAGATACAATAGGAGGTCGGCTTGATGGTCCGGCCTCTAAAGTATTGGCGGGGTCGTGAGGAAGGTTTTGAAGCTTTGGAAAGCTTCCTCGCACTGTTCCGTCCACTCGAAGTTGTTTGGCTTCCGTAGTAGGGTGAAGATTGGCCCTGCCTTCTCCTCTAACCTGGGGATAAATCGGGAGAGGGAGACCAACCTTCCTGCGAGACGCTGGACGTATTTCACAGTCTGGGGGCTTTGCATCTGAATGATGGCTTTGCATTTCTCCGGGTTGGCTTCAATCCCTTGCAGGTGATCATGAAGCCAAGGAACATACCCCCCTGGACGCCGAAGACACACTTCTCTAGGTTGAGACGCATGTTGTGCTTCCTGATCTGGCTGAACACCTCGGCCAGGTCGGCAGCGTGAGCTTCGACGGAGGTGGTCTTGACCACCATGTCATCGACGTAGACCTCCATGTTTCGTCCGATCTGCTGGTGGAAAACCTTGTCCATCAGCCGCTGGTAGGTTGCCCCTGCATTTTTTAGGCTAAAGGGCATCACTCTGTAGCAATAATTGGCGTGATCGGTGATGAACGACGTATGCACCTCATCTGGTGGGTACATCATGATCTGGTTGTACCCAGAGTAAGCATCGAGGAAATTGAGGAGGGCGTGCCTGGATGCTCCATCAACCAGCTTGTCGATGCTCGACAAGGGGTACGAGTCCTTGGGGCATGCTTTATTTAGGTCAGTGTAGTCGATGCACATGTGCCACTTCCCCGAGCTCTTCTTTACTAGAACCACATTTGCCAGCCATGTGGTGTACCTGACCTCACGGATGAAGCCGGTGTTTAGCAGCTTTTGCGTCTCGGTGATGATGGCCTCCCGCCTTTCACCACCGACCTTCCGCTTCCTCTAAGCGACAGGCTTCACCTCCTTGTGAATTGCTAACCTATGACAAATGAAGTCAGCGTCTATACCTGGCATGTCGGCACTGGACCATGCAAAGAGGTCGGCGTTCTTGAGGATTTCAGCTTCGAGCTGTTGCCGTAACTTCGGGCTCAATTGCCTGCTGAGTTTCGTGCACTGCCCAGGGAGTTTCCCGATCTGGAGGTCGTCGAGCTCGTCGATGGGACTCGGTCGTTCATCATGGGAGTCGGATCTCGGATCGAGGTTAGTGATGTCCACGTGGGTGATGTGAGCCACTGTGGGGGGATCACTCTGGCAACGCTCGTCGGATGGGGAAACCTTCAGGCTTTCGGCGTAGCACTGCTGAGCTGTCTTCTGGTTTGCCTTGACAGAGATGATCTTGCCGTCACTCCCTGGGAACTTCATGGTGAGATGTGGGGTGGACACAACTACTCCGAGTTGGTTTAACGTCGGCCTCCCAATGATTATGTTGTAGGAAGTGTTGGCTTCCACGAGGAGGTATCGGACCAAGATTCTTCTTGTGGAGGGAGAGGTTCCGAAGGTTGTTAGCAGGTCCACGTATCCTCGAGTGTGTACTCGCTCTCCTGCAAATCCAACTAGTGGCTCCGTGTGAGGTTGGATGAGGGAGTGAGGGATATCTAACCTGAGGAATGTCGGCCAATAGAGAACGTCAGCTGAGCTTCCTTGGTCAATCAGTGTCTTGTGGACCTCCTAGTTGGTGACTTCTACGGCGATGACCATCGAGTCATCCTAGTTGGGGTAGATGCCAGCGTAGTCTTCGTTGGTGAAGGTGATCGGCAGTAAGCTTTGGTGCGAAGCCGAGGCAGTGGAATGGACGCTGCTAATACTGCGCAGGTGTCTTTTCCGGGCCAAGCTGCTGGAGCCTCCCCCTGCAAAGCCACCTGCAATTGTATTGATTACTCCCCGTAGGGGAGCTGACCCTGTTTCCTGGCTTACCTCAGCTTGCACTGCTCCACCGACATTTTGTTGAGAGCCAGAGGGTTGGTCCGCGCGAGCTCCCGAACCGCGACCTCTGTCACGTCCTCGTCCACCGTAGCCTCCTCTGTGACCCTGCTGTCGTTGGACATATTGGCCGAGGTGACCTGCCTGGATGAGTTCTTCGATACGGTCTCGGAGTGTGCGACACTCTTTAGTGGTGTGACCGTGGTTTCTGTGGTATCGGTAGTGCTTAGACTTGTTTGCATTGTTGGGAGTGTGACCTGGTGGTGGCAGGGTGAGCAGGTTGCTATTACTGGCCTCCTCCAGGATGTGTACTCGGGGCGTATTCAGGAGAGTGTAGAAGTCGTATCTCCCCCCTTGTTTGTCCTAGCAGTTTTCTTGAACTGGCTGTCGTTGTTGACTTTCACTTTGTCCTTTTGACCATTGTCCGGTTTCGCTTGTGACTTTCCGCGAACCTGATCACGAAAAGCGGAGTATTCTTCCATCTGGATGTACCCAGCAGCACGGGCACGAAGATCGTCCATGTCGCGAGGAGCTTCACGACATAGGCTGTCGACAAACGGTATGGGCTTGAGTGCGATGAGCATGGCGTGCAGGGAGACTTCTGGATTCAAATTTTGGATTTTGACTGAGATGTTAGCGAAGCGTTCCATGAACGCCCTCAATGACTCATCGTCGCCCTGCCTAAGATTGGCCAAGGCGGCCGACGTGACATGGTGAGGCCGGCTCGTGGCATACTGAGCCGTGAATTGCTTGACCAGGGTGTGGAAGTTGTCGATTGACTCAACTGCGTGGTGTACAGGTCGATATGCTCGTATGGGTCCGTTGTGTCGTCGTAGCGGTCGAGGTGGAGAGGCTTCCAACCAAATGGGAGAGGTGTTTCCATGATGCCATCCACAAAAGGATGACGGCGGAAGGTCGCTTGATTTCTCGCGGCGTGGGTAGGAGCGTTGTTGACGTCATGGGCTGACCTGTTTGTCGGTGCGTGGGACCGATGAGTGGCAAGTCGGGGAGTTGGTGCCCTAGGTGCTGTGTGTGGTTGAGAGACTGAGTGCCCCTCTTCCTCGTGTTGGTTACTCGGTTGAGGGGGTTGATCAGAGGGACGCCGAGGGAGCTGAGCACGAATACGCTCATTCTCGGTGCGTAGTGTCGCTAGGTCAGCTTCATTGGCAGTACGCATTGCTGCAAGGTCAGTTTCGTGCTTGGCACGCATGCTTTGCAGATCGGTGGTGTGTTGCTATCGCATCTGCTCGACCTGTTCGATCAGTCTCCTCAATGCTGCTTCGCTGTCCATACTGGTTGCGTGATCTAGGTCATCTGTTGCGCGTCTGCTATGGCTTCTGGTGAAAACCATAAGCAGGGTCGATAAGAGCTGTCTCGATCGGCCCCACGGTGGGTGCCAAATGTTCTTACCGGAGATCGGTCGTAAGGGACGATCTGCTGGGTAAGATCGGCGAGCCTCCTTCACTAGTACGCTTGTTGTTCCAAGGCGGGGGTAGTACCTGCAAAAGAGACTCCGATGCTAAAGTTAGGGTTTGTGTGATTATATGTCCCGTATAAGTAATGCACGTACCTTAGTGTGATTTAGGGTTTTGTTGGGCCTTGGGCCTGAGATCAGTTATGACCTGTGTGAATGCCGA